AGAAAATTATCACAGCATGTAGAAAACATATGAAATAACAAAATGAATGCAATATGAAGTTCTATTCCATTCTCATTTAAAATTTTATATTTCCATCAGTTATTTTTAGCATTCAAAAGGAAATATTGCATAGGTATAAATATATTTTTGACATTCAATCAGGAAATAGTGAGCAAAGCATATATGGCAATGCAAACAGTGCAAACACAATTTAAACCACCACGACATAATAATTTATAGCCCTACGAATGAAATTGTTTGCTTCATTAACATATCTGTGGCGGAGACCTTTTCTATTGCCTTACAATTACGGAGATAACTGTATTTGATGCAAAGAACTTCTGGCTTATTAGCAGAACTTTTATGCTTCTCCATGTATTTTTTCAAATAATTTCAAGCGAATTTCCCTGGCAGCATTGATCACATTCAAATAGTTTACGCCCATATATACCTTTCTATATACTTTCAGATTGCTGCAATCATTCATCACAATAATTTCTCGTCCTCATGTATGTCTCCATGCCCTTGCAGATCACCATCCAATCGTTTGAATTCTTCGCCGCATACATTCAAATTGCGGTTCGTTCCCATGTATGTCTCTGTCCCTGTGCAGACTGATGGACCACGGTATTGATTGCATGCGGACCATTCTTCGTTTGCTCCGCTTGCCACGGTCATTATTTCGCCGTCATTTCTTTTTTCTCGGCTGTTTGAAGGTTGCATTATGGGAATTTCTCGCCTCAAATGATCGGTTATTACTACTTGTATTAATAGATCATCTTCATTTGATACCCGAAATGATTCATGACCTAAATGGTTTGCTGATTATTTTTATTGGAATTTTTTAACAGAACAGTCAAAGTAATTGAATAATTCTTTTTAGAATCTTTGAATGGCAACACTTCATCACTTAGTTTTAATATAAGAGTGATGAAATGCGGTAATAATCTGACAAAGATTGTTAGTCCTGCTATTCTAATGTCGCTGATTAAAATCAAATAATGACATGGCACAACGAAAATATTGATAAATTGATGTTATCAAAATAATTCGAAAGTTCGACGTATAAACTTTTTGTTTCGTACTTCGGTTTTTGCTAAAGAATGCGATCGCAATATCGACTGCTTCAAAAGGCGAAGAATGCTTCGAAAGATAAAGCTTGACCAAAAATATCAAAAAATAGATAAACAATGAAGGAACGATAATAATGCCCGTTTTCCTTTATAGGAAGCTGTCTTGTTATTTAATTCTGTATTCTAATTTACTTACTGTTGTTTGCGAGGTAGATAATTGCAACACAATGACTGCGAAATAATATGACAGTAGCATATTGATTCGCGAACAATTTCCACCGATAAATGGTAACACTTGAAATGACGGAATCTGAAATTCAATAAATTTTCGAGCAGCACTCTTCAAAATCTATAAATGGGAAATATTAACCTGACAGAGTAATAACTTCTGTATTGAGAGCCATTTTTATGCATTCCAATAGACCGTACGAGTTACAGTCAAACAAAAATCATAGAACCTTAATCTTTTTACAAAACAATTTCAGTTCCACAAGCAATTTTTGATCATCTATGCATGGAATTATGATTTGTCATTGCACCTAACAAAATCTCGAAAACATTTTGTTAGGTGCAATGAAAAATCATAATTCCATGCATAGACGATCAAAAATTATATTTGTCTATACAATATCGAAATAATTTCGGATCGTCACCTGATCCTCTTAACTCGAAATAAAATGAAATTATTTGGAGAGTTGTTACAATGACTGAGCATATAAACTCATCACCACAGAACAATTATTGAAATGTTTGTAGTTATGTGAAATGAGAAAAAATTGTTATAAGTAACAGTAGCAAAATTAAAAGTTGAAGCAAAGATGGAAGATCGTGTTCAAGAATGGCAATGTAGTTTATTTTTCAGCCAACATATTTGACAACGGCAAATGAAAAAGGTTAAAAATAACTAAGCTATAAAAAGAAAGTAACAAGCCAAAAAATTTCATTGCTAAGATAGATTTAAAATTCCTGACAAAAAATCTCGAAAGAGTATACAATTTTTTCTTATAATGAAAAATTTAATCTCTTTTTGATCAAAAACAGTTTGGAAGATATGGCAGAAATTAGAAGAAATAACCTCGAAGAAATTAGTACAATTAAAATTAGTATTAAATGAAATGCAATTTTATAGAACGATCAAATAACCGTAATATAACATTGTTCTCAAATTCTAAGATTTCTAATACCATTCAACTTTTAGGATAACCACATTTAATTGATTTATTGGATAATGAATTTCTTATATTTTTTGTTTTTGAATTTGAAGAACAAATTATTTCTTAAAGTAAGTCATAATTTGCGAAATTTGTTGAAATTCATAAAATGCTGACATTCTCATCCAAATTCCATGATTCTCATTTTGAGTGCTAATAGAAAGTATCATTTTGTGAAGAGTTATAAGAAACTAATTATAAATTAAGTAAATTGTAAACTTCCATTAGGACTCAAGAGTTATGAATTTGAAATTTTTAATTAAAGTTGTTTTCCATTACTGTAGCGTTTAATTCATTAAAGTGAGTTTATTTAGCTTTCTGAAATGCAATGTGTATCTTAATTATTTTTCACATTTATTTAAGTTGAAACACCAACCAACTAACAACAGTGATCGGAGAAATGGACGTTATCATTTTAAAATTTCCCTAGAATCACGTATCACATGTGGATGCAGCAGTGAGTTGTTCGTTTGAAAGAACTGTTTGCAAATAAATTTGAATTTTCCAAGCACTCAACGTAGTAAACTTTTCTTAACTGTCATGCAAACAGAATGATTTAATAGAAATTCATATAGATAGCACAATTAGCAAGTCAATTTATAATGAATTAGATCTCAATTTTCTTTTCTTTTAGATATTAATTTTTCTGTTCTAGTGAGTCGTGAAATAAATGAACGTTAAAATAAAAATTAAAAAATAAGTAGACGTTATGTAAACTATATTTTATCACATTGCAATATTTAATTTTTTTCACTGTATCACTTGAAAAAATATCTGAAATATTTCATTAAAACCTCAAAAATCAAAAAAATACTATCGAAATATTTGAAGACTTAAAATCATTTCAGGAATAGTCATTTTAACAACTTTCCAATTCCAAGTCAAGAAGATCAGATGATAATTCTGAATTATTCCGATACTATGCAGACAGCTAAAGTTACTGATCACATATAGTACTGTGATTTTCCTTTATAATTAACAACATGTTTCAGGGAGTTGTACAATTAAAACTACTGTGTAAAAGATTCAAGTTCTGTGCATAAAATAGCAGAAATAACAATCAAATTATTACTGTATTTCATCATACTACTCTTGAAAATTAATTTAAAAACGAAAAAAAAGTAAAATTAAATGATGAAACGTTACTATTCAATAATTCAAAGGGGATATTTATACAAATCCTCCAATGGCATTTGTTAAAAAATTCCAATAAAAATAATCAGCAAACCATTTAGGTCATGAATCATTTCGGGTATCAAATGAAGATGATCTATTAATACAAGTAGTAATAACCGATCATTTGAGGCGAGAAATTCCCATAATGCAACCTTCAAACAGCCGAGAAAAAAGAAATGACGGCGAAATAATGACCGTGGCAAGCGGAGCAAACGAAGAATGGTCCGCATGCAATCAATACCGTGGTCCATCAGTCTGCACAGGGACAGAGACATACATGGGAACGAACCGCAATTTGAATGTATGCGGCGAAGAATTCAAACGATTGGATGGTGATCTGCAAGGGCATGGAGACATACATGAGGACGAGAAATTATTGTGATGAATGATTGCAGCAATCTGAAAGTATATAGAAAGGTATATATGGGCGTAAACTATTTGAATGTGATCAATGCTGCCAGGGAAATTCGCTTGAAATTATTTGAAAAAATACATGGAGAAGCATAAAAGTTCTGCTAATAAGCCAGAAGTTCTTTGCATCAAATACAGTTATCTCCGTAATTGTAAGGCAATAGAAAAGGTCTCCGCCACAGATATGTTAATGAAGCAAACAATTTCATTCGTAGGGCTATAAATTATTATGTCGTGGTGGTTTAAATTGTGTTTGCACTGTTTGCATTGCCATATATGCTTTGCTCACTATTTCCTGATTGAATGTCAAAAATATATTTATACCTATGCAATATTTCCTTTTGAATGCTAAAAATAACTGATGGAAATATAAAATTTTAAATGAGAATGGAATAGAACTTCATATTGCATTCATTTTGTTATTTCATATGTTTTCTACATGCTGTGATAATTTTCT